CATCAGTTTTACAAAATTGATTGGGCAGTTTTGCTAGCATTAGTTGCCAGCCTTGATGGCTAGAGGCTCCTCCCCTCTCCCCCATGGTGTATAAAAGGAGGCCCTACTCCTTGAAAAGATATATAGAATTTTTCCTTGACATCCATACACTGTCAGTCTACTTCTCCTATAATTTTCTTCCTGAGAGAGAGTGCTGCCGTTGTCCGTTCGCTAAGCTAATCAGAAGGTGCTTCTGTTGTAGCTGGTAAAAACCGTCGTATCCTGGGAAGTAGACGTCGGCATACCTCCAGCACCCAACGGTGAGGCGGCGAATCTATTTTAAGGAGATTGTGGTATCACACAGGCTTCGGTTTGCTTTCTTTAACCATTTTATATTTTATCTGTATTTTATTCAGCATGTTATTTTTCCTAGGATTGAAGGTTTGTTTTGTTCATTTCATAATTTTGCGATATGCAATGTGAAATTATGTAATGTGAGTAGTTTTTCCCAACAATTATTACCGTTGTTGTATTCATTGAGAAAGAGAACATGTATTATTTTGTTTTTATTACTCAAGGGTAATAGATATTTGAACAAAAAAATGAACCTAAATTGAAGGCTTTTGGTAATGTTTCCGAATAATTAAAATATGAGGCGTGACAAGATTGGCCTTATAAAGGTAAGTTTCTTGAAAAAAAAATGACAAAAATAATAAAATATGTTCGTCAATTTTTCGAGACTGAACTCTTCGAACATGTGACTGAAATTCGGGAACAAAGTCCCCGAACGTTGTTTATTTGTTCAGAAATCGGTAATCGAACATTTATTACTCTTTCAAAAATAGGCCTGAGTGCACCATTTCACTTCACTCGTATGATCTAGTGTAGCGACAACTGAAACAATAGAGTTGGATGTAGACATATGAAGTTCTAGCGAAGTAGATTTACATGTTTATAACATGTTTTTTATTATCTAAAAAATTTCAGTTTTAGTTCTTTATGAATCTGCTTGGTGCTACTTATCTTTGTTAATCTAAAGTATTAAACTTTGACCAAATGATACTAGTTGATGTGTAATTATCTTCGTTAATCAAATAATGTTAAACTCTAATCGGCGAAACTCGTTGTTAGACGATGGATTTCATGTTTCCTATGGTTCGGGAATACAGGTTCGAACGTTACTTATTTGTTCAGGAATGCATCCCGAACAAATAAGTAATGTTCGAAAATGCAGATCCGAACATAGAAATTTCTTAAAACTTGGAATAGTCAAAATTCTTAACGCTTGCAGAAGTTTTTATTTTTTGAAGTTAGAGAGAGAGAGAGAGAGAGAGCATACCAAGTGTGACAATGGTTAAACCAAATAAAAGGATAAGGCAACAAAGACAGTAATCACACTTGGTTCTTCTTCTCCTTCTCCTTCTTCTTCTTCTTTTTCTTCTTCTTCTTCTTCTTCTTCTTCTTCTTGGGTTTTGTTAGAATTTGTTGGAAGAGAGGTTTTTTTAGAGTGTGGGGGTATGGAGGGTGTGCATTCAATAGGTAGAATGTTTTCACAAAGATAATTTTGGTATTATTTGGATAGGAAAAATGAATTTTAAGAGTTTCAAAATTTATAAGTGGTGGGTCCAAAATATAAAAGAAATTCAAAATAATTTATGGGGTGTTAATAGTAGGGATGGCAATTTAAAACCGGCCCGACGGGGACCCGCTCCCCCAACCCTGATTAGAGCAGCTTTTCTCTGAAAATTATCACCGACGGGCCGGGGATGGTATTCAAAAATAAATCCCCGATGATTTTCGGGCTGGGGACGGGGATACATTTTTCAGCCCCGGCCCGTCCCCGGCCCCGTTTCCCCCTGAAGTAAAATTACTATTTAACCATTCCTATCCTTCATTTACATATATACCCTCATATGTCTCTCTCTCTCTCTCTCTCTCTCTCTCTCTCAAATGATCCTTCATCTGTCTCTCTCTCACTCTCTCTCTCTCTCCCCCTTACTCTCTCACACTCTCGCACATCTCCATATCCTTAGCGGCGCCACCGCCACTGTCCAAGACGCCGGGGTCGCCGTCCAGCACCAGCTCGCACCGCCGCTTCACTCTCGCGCCTCTCTTCCACCTGTCCAGGTCGCACCGCCGATCCACGCCCACCTCCTCCATCGTCATTGCCGACACCTCTGTCCACCTCGCACCGCCGCTCCACCTCCTTCATCGTCCATCGCCGCCGATTTGAGATCTAACACACTCATACACAGATCTGACACCTCTCTCTCTATGTGACACACTTATACACAGATCTAAGATCTGTTGATGTTTGATGTTTGATGATTTTGTTTTGTTTTGTTTTTTTTTTTTGAACTCTGATGATTTTGTTGATAACCCAGTTTTGTTAGCTGAGATTTGTTGATGTTTGATGATTTTGTTGATGATGTTGTTGATGGCGATCTATGTTGATGTTGCTTCTGTGTTTTTTTTTTATTTTTTATTTTTTGGCCGGGAAATTATCGGGGTCGGGGAAACCCGATCCCTGTTAGGGGACGGGGATGAGGACAGTAATAGGTTCTCCGTCGGGGATTGGGGCCGAGGCCGGGGGATTTTTTGCCATTGGGGATCGGGGATCGGGGACGGAAAGGGTGATCCCCGGCCCCTTCACAAAGATAATTTTGGTATTATTTGGATAGGAAAAATAAATTTTAAGAGTTTCAAAATTTATAAGTGAAGGGTCCAAAAAAAAATAAAAAATTCAAAATAATTTATGTGGTGTTAATAGTACAACTCATAAAAAAATAAAAAGTCATCAAGACATTTATCATAAGTAAAGAGCGTCAAATGTCAGGTCAATTATTTTTGCTAATAAAAAAGTAATTTTTTTTTTTAAATTGTCAACCGCATTAACTAACAAATACAAAAAAAAAATGTTTAAAAAATTAAAAAAAAATATATTTAGAAAACCAACCTCAAATGCCCACTGAGTGAAATGGAAAGTAAATGTAGATATGCAATGATGATACAGTGTGATTAGTAGTTTGTAGGATTGTTAATATATTCCTAATTAGTTAACCAAAGTAGAGAGGAATTATTTATTTATTTATTTATTTTTTGGGTTATGATGGAGGCCGAAGGCCAAGCAAGGAAAGCAAAAGATAGAAAAGAAAAAGAAACTCAAGTAACAGCAGAACTGACAGCTCCAACATGCTGCCTACTGCGAGGATTATGACATTTTAGTCTTATGATTCTGTAAAAGTGTAACTTAAGAAATATATGTATACATATAATTTTAATTTTAAAATATTTACATGTATATTCATATAAAATTATTTTAAAACATAATATTGGGTCATTTTTCAATAAAAAAATAATCACTGCATTCAACACTAATTCTTTAGAATTGACTAATTCCTTAAAATAGTTGTTTCGTTTAAGTATTGTACTTACAGGGACTAGTTAGGTTAAAATGTGTTGAATTGAATGCAAACTTCTATTTTAATTAGATTGAATTTGGGTGAGGTTGATTAACTAAGAATTGAATTTTGCAAAAGACTAAATTAATTAAACAATAAAAGTTGATTTATTTTGAGATGGAAAGATTCTTAAGAATGGGATCATATCGTGTCTTGAAAGTGTGGATGGAGGAGGTTCCATGTGAGCTTTTTGTTGTAGTTTCTTCGGAGTTTGTATAGTTTTCTTTGGGCATTTTAACCATCTAAAAAATAAAAATAACTATTGGTATGATTTTGAATCTATCACTAATCGTATAATAAGTAATTAATATAATCACATTTTGTACTTTGAAATCTTGGGTTCAGCTCCTATATGAAGACGAGTTGAATACTTTTTTTTGTGACAGTGATTTATTTTTGATTTTTTTAGATGAGTAAGAAATAAAATGAAACAGAGAGAATATACAAGTTTACAAGGACAATCCGCAGGCTATACAAAAAACAAGAGCAACCAAAATGGTAGATAAAGAACAACCAAAATGGTAGATTTATACTACCCACTACAATAAATGCATGTTGTAGTTAGTACATTTTATAACTTTTTTTTTTACAAGTTGTTAATGTTTTGTTAATAACAGTATACATGTCATGCAAGTTTTTAATTCATATATTTATGGCATGCAAAAGTATGCCGTAAAAAATGTATGTTTTTACGATTTATAAAAATATGTCGTAAAGCATTTGTATTTAAGATGACATACATTTCATATTGTAAAATATTATAATTTTACACGACATGCTAATAAATGTCATGAAAACTTGTACAAAAAAAAAAGAAAAAAAAAGAAAGAATTACAATCTAATTTTTTTATGGCATGCAAAAATATACCGTAAAAAATGTATATTTTCACGACATATAAAAATATGTTATAAAATATTTGCATTGAAGATAACATACATTTCATATCGTAAAATATTAAATTTTATATGCTTTTGAATTTAGTGATTTTTTAGAAAATTAAAAAATATTTTGTCTTCTAAGTGTATGTAAATTATTTGAATTTAAAAAGTTAAAAAAAGAAAATTATTTAAAAACTTATGCTACATTCCCTTTCATTCTTAAAGTTATATAAATTTTTGGTAGATATGACAGATTTTTATTTTTTTTTCCCCAATAAACTAGATATTCTAGTTATAATCTAGATTTTTTTAATACAAAAATAATTTATAAACTTTGGGGTTATTTGAGATGTTCTAAATAAGTGCACTTTTTGACTTTTTATGAAATATGAGTTGGGTATAAGTTGAGTTTGAAGTAATGTGATAGAGAGGTGATGTGACTTAAATAAATGTGACTTAAATAAGATAGTAATTTTTTAACTTTTTAATTATTTTAGAGGATAACAAACAAGGCCTAATATCTTTTTTTTCTAAAATTTTTTACCCCAAATTTTTTTATTTATTGATATTGTTAAAATTACACATTCTTTACATACAGATTTTTTTTTATTGACGTTGTCAGTTGTTTTTTTAATAGATTTATTAGCAATCTGTTATCTCACACATTTATTTTCCTTTTGTATATACATCTCTCTCTCTCTCTCTCTCTCTTCTCCTTCTCTCTCCTTTCTCTCCATCGACATCTCACACAAACACACGAGCACCACCAGCGACCACCACCAGCCACTGCCCCTCCGATGATGTTAGTTACACGAACACCAATCGATTGATTCCGAGCTTGGCATTTGATTCCAATTCTGAGCCTTGGATTAATTCGGTGAGAGCCTTGGATTGCATCCGTTATTCGATTAATTCAGTTTATCCTCTCTCATCTCTCTTTGATTTTGATTTGATTTCTAGAGTTTTTATTCTGATTTCTAGGGTTTTGATTTTGATTTGATTTGTATTCAATTAACCTAAATTTTTCTCCCTTGCAGTTTCATTTCAACTTTATGATCTCAAGCAGCAAGGATTCATAGAGAGACAGGAGCTTATGAGGTATTTTGAATTGTGTTGTGCTTATATCTCGTCAATGAAAATTTCTATTGATTTGGTTATGTAACATGTTATGGATTGCCAATTGTAGTTTTTTTTTAATTGTTTGTAATGCACTCCAGCCCCAACTCTTAACTTCCTATATTTCAGTACCTCTTGCAATTCGAAGTTTATATAGCTGAAACCTATCTATACTTGGTGGCTCTTCATTATATTTAATTCAATATGGTTTTCAACGATTTGATTGCTGTCCATGGACCTAATCCAGATTTTGGCACTTCCTCTCTCAGGTTTTAATATGTCAAAATGAGGCTGAAAAATGCTTAATTGAAACGTCTATAAATTCATTGCGCATAAGCCTCAAGGTGAGATAAAGTAGTTAACATTTGGATACATTCTTGAGTTCTTTCCGTTGGTTATGGATGAAATAGCACATGATGCCATGTCATTTTCATATAATTGATATGTCATGGTGAGTATATTTGAGTTTTTATAATCGAACAGATACTTGATATGTTAAATACTTGAACTTATATTTGAGGTTATGATGCACTTGTTCTGCAGCACTTAAGCTCAAACCTCAAATATATGTTCATATCCATTTGTGCTCAACAAGTGCATCACAACTTGGTTGAAGATTGCCTCCTCAGCTTATAATTTAGATAGAACATAGCACTTGGAGGGCTTTGTTGATTGCATCAAGATGTTCAGCATCATCTTCTTTGCTTTTATTTCTTTTTTCCTTTTATCCTTCTGATTGTATACACTAGAAATAACCATCATTTCTCAGATTTATCACCTTATATGCGTGTTTTTTTCTTGTTGTATAGGTAAAGCAAGCAGATGAACTAGAAAACATACTAACTAAAAAATTTCTTAGATTTTTGTCAATGCGGGCAGAAGCATTTCAAGTATTGAGGAGAAAGCCAGTACAGGTATGTATTGTCTCATCTCATTTAATTGTTTTTGCACATTGCTATGCAAAATTCATGATGCTTGACAGAAAACACAGTGCTGATTGATTGGCAATAATTTGCTTCAAGATGAAATTTTACTTAGTACTGTTTTGGGAACATTAGTAAGAAGCAGCGTTTTCATGCAAGGGGAAAAACGCAATGCTTTGTAAAAACGCAACAAACACCATTTGGGAAGAGATAAAAATGCAAGTCTGTCAAATTACATAACTACCCTCCGTCTTAACAAATTGGGGCCTAGGGCAAAACACATTCATTTGCCTCCTCCCCGCTGCTGTTGATTTCCTCCTCCTTGCTGCTGCGCTTGCAACTCCCTCCAACAACCCATGACATTGTCGTCCCCCGCCGACGCTGCCGCCAAAATACTCGTCCACATCCTTGCCGTTGCCGGATCTGCACCATCAGGTAAGCCGAAAACCCTTCTCCGCTGTTGTCTTTTCACTAGTATTGACAGATCAATTTCCATGGAATATTTGTTCAAAAAACAAGGGATCAGCTGGTGTATAACTTATATATGTTGTAATGTTGCTCCATGGTCATCCAACCAGGTAGGTGGCCGGCCTGCCACCTTTTCTGGTCGGCCTGCTACTTTTCACGACAAAAAATGAGTCTTCCGGAAAGAAAGGTGGGCGGTCAGTGATAGGGAAGTCCAATGGTGGCCGTTCAAGTGTCCAAATTGAAGCCCCGGAAGTTATCTTTCCAATGGCGCAAACCTTGCATTAAAATTCTTCCTTTGGAAAAAGTTATGCCCGTTTCCGTGAAGCCGCGCAGATTCGGTCCCAGCCGGAATGATGCCCTACTTCAATCAACCATATCTCCCCTATCCGGAATTGGATTTAGGAGATTCTTGAGTGAAAAATGAGGCCCCGGGAGTAAGCTTTCCAACGGTGGTGGCCTCATAGCTTGATTCCAAGTATGTGAATGAATAGGCCCGATTCGGCGAGGGCTGTTCAATTCTCTCTTAACGATTCATGCCCATTTTCTTCCCCAACTGGACTTCTTCCCTCTTCTCCTCTTTTCTTCAACTTCAAACCCCTAAGTAAGGTATTTTGAAAGATTTTTCAAAGATTTCATCTCTCCTTCATTCATTTCCACTTTGTCCTTGCTCGGTTTATCCAAAAGCGCAACTTTTAACAAAATGCGAGCGTCAGAACATCGTATGAACTTTATTTCAAAAACGTTTTTTGAGAGAGAGGGTTTTAAGACTAAAATATTTTGATCAAGATTGTTTTGGTCCAGAACAGGGGTATGAAGTTGAGATTTGACTCTCTCTTTGCCGAAGAAATTGCACCTTTCCGCTGCACACCTTTCTCCACCAAGTAAACCATCAGTCACGTCCAAGTCTTAAAGGTAGTCAAAAATGGGGTGTCTACAAAGGTGTTGTTAGTTCAATTGTGACACTGATCCTATACTATCGAAGTGGAAATTCATATAAAATCTGATTCCTTAATAAGATTTCAATGAATATTTCATACCAATGACTTGTCGAACATTAAATATTGACAGAATTGTACTAGTCATTGTACTAGTCTTTGTTATGCATGCATAAAAGATATGAAAAGATGATGGAAAAAACTTAGTTACCAAGACAATAGGGGAATACTTTTTAGGGAAGACATGTTGCTTGGTGAGGCATTGATAAACCCATGGGCCTGAGACAAAGACACGTGCAAGTTTAACTGGATTTGACTTATACAACAACTTTGTATAGAAGATACATTCATTCTCTTTTGTTGCTGACCATAAGGCTAATTAAAAAAAAAAAAAAAAAAAAACCTACTCATCAACTAATTAATGCAAACCTATGTAAGTTGTACTAAGGCAAATTAACTAAGGCAAACCTATGTGATTTGTACACACTGTTATATTTAAATCTCATCCCCTTAAAAACTGTCCAATAAGTGAGATTCTTGTTATTGTATTGCCTTGGTTCCAAAAGTTTAATTGTATCCATTTTACTCTTTACTTCTTCACACTACATCAAATTAGTTTAATTTATAACATGTAGACAAAAAATATTAAGATTATAGAGATGGCGTCCTCCATGTCAACTGCCACTTCATCATGGCCACCGAGGATGTGTGCATGTGGCTTTGGACATTGCGTTGTCAAGATACCCAAATCTGCCAATAACCCTGGCCGTGCGTACTACGTTTGCTCTAGTTGTACGGTGCGTTTGTGTTGCCCCTCTCTTATGTAGTTAGTCATGTGGTTGTTCATGAATCATTATGTCGCATAGCATGCAGTCTAACTATCTGTTTCACTTTTGTACGGTAGCGATGTGTTGCGGGGGTTGGTGAGTTTCGCAACGAAAGCTTTGCTATTGAACACCCACCTAATGTAACAACCCACATTTATGGCTTAGTCATGTTTGCATGCATTTATATGTTTTGCCATGTTAAGATTGCTGTAGCGACCCATATTCATGTCATGGTCATATTCATGTTCATTTACATAACTTTGTCTCGATAAGTTTGCATTTATGAATCTTGTCTTGTTTTGTGTTTATGTGATTTGTCTAAGTATTGTATGCGTGCTTTGTCCCTTTCCTGTTATGTTAAGCCTAGGTCATGCCAAGCCTAGGTTATGTTAAGCCGAAGTTATGCCAAGCCTAGGTTACGTTATGCCTAGATCATTCCAAGCCGAGGTCATCTTCAGTCTAGAAGTATCTTGGAACCCCTTTGTTTGACCTCCACCTTCGCCCTGGCATATTGGCCGAGATGTCATTATCTAGGCCGAGGTGTGAATCACCAAGGCCGAGATGTGTATCATCTAGGCCGAGATGTTACCTTTGCACTTGAGTGATCTTGTCTTGGAGTGGTATGACCTAGACCGAGGTGTGGCACATCTAGGCCAAGGTGTGGCACATCTAGGCCAAGGTGTGGCACAGCTTAGTCAAGTGTTGTCCTTCCTAGCCGAGGTCATTATCACCTTAGTTGCCGAAGCCTTGTCCTTAGCCGATGTCATCACTTGCCGGAGTGCCTTACAGGGTAGCTTGTTAGATACGCTTTGTCATAGTCTTGTCTTGTCAAACTATCACCTTTTGAGGAGAGCCAACCAGCCGTTGCCACGTGTCCGAGCTGAGAATTAAGTCAGCCGATAGAGAGAGAAAACCCATCATTTTGTTGTACACTTGTTTTGAAAAAGAGAGAGAAGCTCTAGGAGAGGAAGAAGAGTTCTTGGGAGGAGATAGATTTCCAAGCTTGATCCCTAGAGATCGAACCGTTAGATCCATGTTCTAAGGTTAGATTCTTGATCTACCCATGTTGTTCTTTATTTTTATGTTATTGCACTACATGATTGAATATGATTTGTAAGCCATGCATTGTTTTGAAGTTCGATTTTAGAAAGAGAAAATAGCATTCATGTGTTCTTCAAGGAAAGTTATGTTTTGATCCGAAAGCTCATGCCAAGATCCATGTTTTGTGTTTGTTTTCACATGATTTTCAAGTATCGGTACCCAGGTCCATGTTTTCGAACTCATAGCATGAAATCCCAGATTTTTGTAATAAAGAAGTTACGATTTTGGCATTCATGTTCTTCATGTTCTTCATGTTCATGTTCTTCCTGTTCTTCACGGGTGGAAACCCAGATCTCCAGACTTCACTTCCCGAAGTGTAGTTGTCGAGATCACTCTTACCTAGACCTCACACTTAGGCCAAGCATCGTATCTCACCTTGGCCTACCTTGCATGATCACTTACACCTTTAGTTTGTCTTGTGAACACCTCGGCATGCAGCTGCACGCCGAGAAGCCTAGGTAGCCACACCTCGGCCAGGAGGTGTGGGACCTCGGCAAAGACCTGGTTGGTACCCAGCATATCTTCCTGACATGTAAAACAGTGTTTTGACTTCCAGCATGTTTTCCCAAGATCATTGCATGCATGTAAGACTTGTTTTGAGAAGTGCATTCAGTATGCTTTGCCATGTGTTTGTAGGACCTGGACCTTTGCCTTGACCCCGACGTCCCAAGAACTAAGTGAGTGGTATTTTTAATAAAGTTATGTTCTTAAGGTTTTGATAAAGCTTTGCCTTGTTTTGATAAAAGTATTTGTTAAGCATGAATGATATCCCTATTTTATGTATCAAGTATAAGCTTTGTTTTGAATGGCAATGTATCAAGTAAGCTTTGTTTTGACGACATTCCCGGAAAGTTCCTTGTGCTGGAGGACTCTAAACTTGTGCAGCACCCAAGTGTTAAAGGGCTACGGGCTCTTGTAACATAGGTCCCTTGTGCTGGAGGACTGTAAATTTGCGCAGCACCCAAGTGTTAAAGGACTACGGGCTCTTGTAACATAGGGCCCTTGTGCTGGAGGACTCTAAACTTGCGTAGCACCCAAGTGTTAAAGGGCTACGGGCTCTTGTCATAGGTCCCTTGTGCTGGAGGACTCTAAACTTTGCGCAACACCCTTGTTTGGAATATCTCCCTTGCTTGGTCTTGTTTTGCCACTGGCGGTTTACCGCGTGGGTCTTGTAAGTAAGTAAGTAAGTTTTGAAGGACCAAGGTTATGCCGAGGTTATGTTATAAGATTTGACGCATGTTAAGTAAGTAAGTTTTGGAAGACCAAGTTTTGAATGATGTTTTGTTTCAAGTCAAGTTAAGCTATGTTATGTATGGTTTTGACAAAGATATACTATGTTTTGTTTTGAAAAGACCTCGGGAATCATTCATTTAACTCCTTTATTACTTATACCATTCACTGAGTATCCAAGCTCACCCTTCCTATGTATATATATAGGTAGCAAGCAAGAAGTCGGCTACGCCGAGATGTATGCTTTGTATGCATGTTATGTCGGCAGTGAGGATGTCGGCAATCCTGAATATCATGTATCTTGACTTGTATTTCATGTATTTTGTTTATGTCGGCAATTTTTGAAACTTATGTATTTTGAACATGTCGGCTTGAGGAGCCTTTTACCAAGATGTAATATGTATTTTTGTACTTCATTTCTATTGTATTCAAGTTGTAAAGCTATGTAAAGATGTATGCCATTCCATTTGACTTATGCACTGCTCTTATGGACCACTTGTATTTTAGATTATTGCTTCCGCGCTTGTGAGGCCCCTATATCTATACTCTGATTGTGTGTGAATTTTGAAAGTTGGCCTTCGGTAATCTCGGATTACTGGCCATCACAGCACCAAACTACTAGGGGCGGTTTGGGGTCGTGACACCTAATGTCGTCAACATGGGGTTACGTGCGGACGTTGTTCACATAGATCAGAGCCTACGTACGCTTAGAACTGTCGTCTATGTTTTGTGCATCGTTGTGTTGTTGTTTTGAATCTGATGCATTGTCATGGATGTTGTTACATTTACGTATCATTTTGTATCACCTATGTAGTTGTTGTCAGTAATGTGTTCGTCCTGTATTGCATAATATTTTGTACTAGTATATGTATAATTTCATTACTTGTCTAATGACTTCCATTTCGGATTTGGACACGGAAAACATACATACTCTTAACTTTCTGACATATGATACGTCATTATCTTTACAAGCAGGATTGCATTTCTCATAACTGCAGGTACAACAATCGCACTACTTATGGCAACGAACCGTTCATCACCCCGTACCCCTTCCAAGAATCGAGGCAAGGCCGTCATAGCAACCCAACAACAACCAGTCCACAAATGCCAATTCAACAGTGACAATACAAAAATGTTTCTACAACTCGTCATTGCTGAAATGGATGTTGGTAATCGACAACCTTGCGGATTGTCGATGACTGGGTATAAGAATGTTGCCTACAAGTTCTTGGACAAAACCGGACTGCTACATTCGGCCAAACAAATTAAAAACAAATTTGACAACTTGAAGAAAGATTGGGTTGCGTGGAAGAAGTTAGAGTATGCTGCCCAAGGATTGACAGGGTTTGGGTACGACCAAGAGGCGGGTTTGTTCACTGCACCTGACCATTGGTGGGCTAAAATGCAAGCGGTATGTAATGCAACAATTTTTTTCCCCCAGTTATCTTGTATCGGTATTTCTGATGGTTCGACCACATGTTGTTTACATAACTACTTTTAAAAATCAAACAAATTCATTAATACACTAATTTTATCCTCTTGCTAATTGTGGCACGTTCACATTTATTATTTGTAATGTTTTCATTAGAAAGCAACAGTTGTCAAATTTTTTCTTGTGCACCGCACAACTTGCCATGATTGCACTTAATTGCGTGGTTACAATTATTGTTTCATACTTATTAGCTACAATCCCTGCAACTCAAAAGGTACAAGTGAGTTGTGCATATTTTGAATTACGTAATTCAGCATTATTTGCTTTTACTGCCTTTGCTGCTACACTCTTAGCCCTGGAACTATATTGCTAGCTTTAGTTACATTTGTGTTTTCTTCTGTCTCAGATGAACAACCGATGTGCAAAGTTCAAGACCAAGCCTCTAGAGCACTTGGAGCTCATGGAACGGGTGTATTCTAGCGCAACTGCGACAGGGAAGCATGCATGAACTCCAACTGAACTGCGTGATGATGATGCTACCGTTGCCAATGCCACCAAGGACAACGGGATGGGACCTCTCAATGATGGCACACCAACACATTCGGGCCATGACACTATTGGGGAGAACCTGGTCGATGGTTCCCTGTTCGATGATGCCCCCCCGCAGTCAGTAGCCAACGGATCAGCAAATGCAAAACGTCGCAAGCGGGCAGTGCCTGGTACTGTTGCTAGTAGCATGGACAACCTCGTCGAAACTGTCAGCAAACAAAGCCGGGAACTTAAAATTAAGCAGTATGTTGTCACTAGGAAGGGTGACAACACTGTGGGCGACTGTCTTGCAAGGCTAATGAGCACGCCTAGATTGGAGCTCGGCGGTAAGTTGTTCTCATTCGCATGCGCCATAATGGATTCACCCGATAATCGGGACATCATCATGGCCCTCTCCATGGATTACATTGTCAACTGGTTGACAGAGAAGCGTGCCTGCACGCCGGCAAATGTTGGCAGGGAACGTGAACGCGACGTATGTCTGTTCGGGAGTGATGGTGTGGTTGACATGGACTAGGCTTCAGTGGCTGGATTGTCTTTTTTTATTGCTGCCACAGCACTGTACTTCGAATGTTTGTGGAATGTTATGCTTTGGACGTTTTTTTTTTTCATTTTTTTTAATGTGTTGTTTTGCAAACTTGTTTTGTGGAAGAACGATATGTTCGACAATTGTGTTGTCGTTAAGTTATTTATTGTTGTTGGGTGCATTTACTTACAGTTTTGAAACGAACCGAATATGTTTATGTTATTCTTGTTTGTTATTGTTATGGAATTTGCTATTAAATTTAACAGCAACTGTTTTCTTTTCAACTTTATTTTTGTGTAACAGGCTGCCGCGTTGAACATATTTGTCTTTCTGTTGGTAGATTGGAGGAGTAGGTTTTCCCCCATTGTTGAGGATTTGGTTCATGGCTGCGAAGTATACAAGGCAGGACATTCCACTGTTGTCTCACATGTTGGTTACGCACAGTTGTCATGGCAATGGAATCTATTTTTGATGCATCATGTACCACATGTCAGCAATGTTTGTTGCACTGTTTATTTGTGTATTTATTTATTTTCAGAATTTCTGTATGTATTTATGCATGTATTTGTAAGAACAATATTGCAGCTTCTAATATATTTGTTGTTGTCTTTATTTATTTGTTTACATTTTTGTATTTTTTTATGTAGTTTACTTTTGGTGCAATGTACTTATTTAATTTTATTTATGTACCTTTTTTAGTATATTTATATATTGTTCGTGTTGTTTCTTTATTTAGTTAAATTGCTCTATGCATTTATTTATGTATTTGTTTGTGCTTGTATTTATTTATGTAATAATATTTCCGTATTTATTTATTTATTTATTTATTTGTTGTTCGATTTATCAGCCAAAAAAACATACATTTCAATTGTTAATTATTTATTTATTTATTTAATTTGTACGTAACTATTTATGTATTTGCATTTCTGTAGGTATTTATGTTCTTTTATATGTTTGGTTCTATTGATTTATGTTTATATATTTCTGTAATTGTTTTGAGTGTATTAATTTATTTTTCGTTGCCACATGTTAGTTAATTACATTTGTGTAATTTTTTGTTCTTTATGTAATTGTGGTTGTATTTTTTTTATGTATTGATTAGTATTTCCTTGTGTATTTATTAACTTATATTTTTTTCGATGTATGTTTTTATGTGGATATCTGTATGTATTGAATTGTTTACAAAATTTCTGGTGCAATAGTTATGTAAATATTTGTGTCTCACGTGAAACTAATGGCAAATGAAACTGTTGCTAATTTTGTTGGCATGCTTCAGAATAGATTCTCGTACCCACTTACACCATGTAGTACCTTTCACATGGTTTTGTTACCTATTTGGTTTTTGTGCATCACATGGAAACTATAGCTTGGTGGAGGGGCTTGTTCGTTTGGAAATTGTGCAACTAGTGCTATAAATGATGGAGGGGCTTGTTCATTTGGAAACTATAGCTTGGTGGCACACTTACAACTGAGTTGGTGTTGTTTGCCAAATTTCACTTCGGTGGTACATTCAGCCTCTTTCATTTTTTCTTCACTTCACAGTAGACTAACCCCGCCGATGGTCTAGTAAGTGCCTACCAATAATATGTATTTACATCTTGGTATTAATGTATGTATTGGAACGCAATTTGGGGGAAGCAGATGTTGGGAACTGTACATAGTGTATTTATGACTGAAAAAAAAAAATCTATGATTTGCAGCGTGCATGGATTTGCAAGAGGGTACTAGCTCCGGCGTGGTACGCAATGGGCAAATAAATGCGTGGATACGAGAGACGATCGGAGAAATTGAATCGACGACATCAATGATATGGGTGGAAATTGCACGTGTTGCTAACGAGTACGCGTATGTTGACAGGACTCCATTTCACACATCATCATTGACAGGTCGCATGTGGATGGAGGAGATGCTTGGAGGTCGGAATGAAGCATTTCAGAGAAAATTTTGAACGTCGAAGGATGTGTTCTTATTATTGTGCAAGACATTAGTTGAGTATTTTGGCCTACCGGTACCACAATATCCCCATGGTGTGGACGTAGTTGAGAGTGTTGCCATGTTTATATTCGTGTTGCGGGGCTTCACGAGTTAGGATATTGAAGACCGTTTCCAACACTCGAGGGAAACAATATGGCATCATGTAATACGAGTTCTTAAAGCAATGAAGTTGTTTACAATTGTACACTGTCGCCTGACAAGGTCACAACACAGTAGACATCCATACTTAGAGGCCCGACGAAAATATTTGCCATTTAGAGTGAGTTTAATCTTTTACTGAGCATTTCATGAATAGTAACCACATTCATAAAACAAGGGAATACAAATTTTGGGTTAATGTGTTCGGCATTGTCGCTTACACAATTGCTTTGTGTGATTGTGCAGGACTATATTGGCACCCTAGACCACACACACGTGGAGGCACATCTCCCACCGCGGGAGGCAGCGCCATATTTTGGCCGTAAAGGACGGCACATGCAAAACATACTTACAATGTGTGATTTCGACTTGTGTTTTACTTTTACCTCTTGCGGATGGGAGGGTAATATGCACGACGGTAGAGTTTTTAACGAAGTAACACAGGACCCGGCCAAACAATTCCCATACCCAGAGGAAGGTTAGCTGAATCAGGGGTGGTAAATGTTGTTGTTAGTTGTGTGCATTTGATTAATGAATGATGTTACTAATGAAAAATTAGGTAATTACAACCAGGAAAATATTACCTCGTTGACGCGGGGTACAAGAACCAAAAAGGCTTTTTGGCTCCATTTAAGGGATGTGGATACACCAGGAAGAGTTTCACGCTATTGGACGGGCAAGAAATGCAAACGAAGTTTTCAACACGGTGCACTCCTCCTTACGAAGTGTAATTGAACGTACGTTCGGAGTATGGAAAGCGCAATGGGAATTCCTGCATAACATGCCTCGATATGATTTTGGAAAAGTGCAGGTGCCATTGGTCGAGGCTTCAATGGCACTACATAATTTTATACGCCGTAACTCCAACAACGATGAAGCGTTCAACAAGGTTGCGAATGCAGAGAATTTTACTTTCAACGACATACGAAATGTTGCGGGTGTTGGTGACAACGATGATGGTGAACCAGAGGGCGATGATGACGCACATATGAACGAAGTAAGAAAATCAATATAGAATGAATTGGTGCGACATCGGCGTGAACTTGGGCTATAATCCTATTCGGTCTGTACGAGTTGATGGTAAATGAAATGAATATGTCAAACTGTTGAAAGTGTTAAAAAAAATGTACAGTTGTGATGTGTAGTGTAACATGGAATAATAAATTTAATATGGCAAAAAATACTAAATTTAATATGCCATTGAATAATTTAATAATTTCACTGTGATGTGTAGTGTAACATGGAATAATAATAAAAAAAATCATAATTTAATAATTTGCACTGCATAACATTGAAAAATTTTAATATTACATTCAAAAAAAAGTGTTCAAACACACATGGGCAAAAACGAAAATTTCATAAGTTGGGTAAGGATATTTTGGTCATTTTAAAGTGATTTGACACCATAAACAAATATTAAACCAAAAAACAAAATACCAGCTTTTTACCAACTTCCCAAATCACTTTCCAAAAAAGCTAAAAAGCTTGGTAAAAAGTTAAAAAGCCAGCTTTTTACCAACTTCCCAAAACACCCTTTAGTCACAGTAACATTATAGGAAATGACTTTTCTCAACATGTTATGTATTCCATTCTCCAAAGTGACATTCAGGTACCTATGTCTATCCCTAGGAATGGTAGACCCTCTTCTTGAAGAACAGGACATAGGCAATGCACACACTTTACTCAATACTCCTTTATAGGTGTGGTGCAGTAGGGCCGCCAAGCTCCATACAAGCTTTGTTGCTTGTCAACAGAACAGGCACCAGATGCCACTACAAACTCAAGTTTACATCAAGGTCTTCATTATATGGCTAAATCAGCAGCTCACTCAAGCAGTTATACTCCTCTAAGCTAATTAGGGCAGTTTAACTCCCTATCAGACTGTCTAACAGGAAAATTCTCTACCATCTCAATACAGATTTACCTGGAATGGCACCTGAACCTCCAACTACTCAACTACCTAATGCAGAAGCTGCATGTATCCCTCTGAGAAAATGCAGGCTCTCAAACATTCCAAATGACCACAATGAGCCAAACATCAGAAAGGTGAAAAACCACAAAAACAATACATAGGTTGTTAGGAAAAATATGTGATTCTCCACAAGTAAATCAATCAATGAGAATAAAAACTAATGCGGAAAAATTAAATCAAAGGCAACACAAGAATTTTACGTGGTTCCCTCAATGAGAGGTACGTCCACGGGATCGAAATCCGATTCCACTATCAACCAAATAAGTTTCAAACGATTACAAACGAGACACTAATGGTCTCACAAAACCACCCTTAGGTGAATTCCAAATAATCACAAATAAATAAGAGGAAAGACCTTACCAAATAGATGAACCAAAATTTTCAGAATCAGAGTTGAAGAAGACCCAAAATAACGAACCAAAACAACTTCACCAAAGCACCCAAACAAAGATGCATCCAAATCAATTTGCTGCTGCTTCACCAAAGCAATCTACCCGAAGCACTATTTCACCAAGACAAGTATATGCTGCTGCCGTACTTTTTCTCTTGGGAAAAAATAATGTCAATAATATATTGAATCTAGGGTTTTTTTTTATCAAACCTTAGTTGTTTCCAAATTAAATTGGGTCTCCACAAAATTAGATATAATATATAAAAATATATTATACCTAAACCAAGCCTAATTAAAATTCTTTAACAAACCAATTGGGTCCCACACTCCAATAAGGAGGTATACCCAACAATTCTCCCCCTACCGACTTAGGTGGAGATATCAACCATACCCGCCAAAGTTCGACACTTTAAATGTTTGTCCCTCGACAAAGTCTTAGTTAACATATCCGAAATATTATCATCTGTGTGAACCTTTTCGAGTTGTAACAATTTCGAATCTAACACATCACGAATCCAATGGTATCTCACATCAATGTGTTTTGATTTCGAATGAAAAGTAAAATTTTTACTCAAGTGAATAGTACTTTGACTATCACAATAAAGCACATATTTTTCTTGCTTTAATCCCAACTCTTGCAAAAATTTCTTCAACCATAACTCTTCTTTGCAAGCTTCCGTAATGGCAATAAATTCAGCTTCGGTAGTTGAGAGAGCAACACATTTTTGTAATTTAGATTGCCATGCCACAGCTCCCCCTGCAAAAGTCATCAAATACCCCGAAGTAGATTTCCTAGAATCAACATCACAGGCCATGTCAGAATCTGTGAACCCATCAAGCATCGGCTTACCATCCCCAAAACACAAACACACCTTCAAAGTCCCTCGAAGATACCTTAGAATCTATTTTACCGCTACCCAATGTTCTTTACGCGGATTAGAGAGAAAACGACTCACCACGCCAACGGCGTGAGCAATATCCGGCCTTGTACAAACCATGGCGTACATCAAAGAACCAACTGCTGAAGCATAAGGAACTTTCTGCATCTCTTCCTTGTCTTTCTCACTTGTAGGACATTGATTCGAACTAAGCTTGAAGTGACCCGCAAGTGGACAACCAACCGGCTTCGCTTTATCCATATTGAACCTCTCAAGAACTTTCTCAATGTAGCTTTCTTGAATGATATCAATCTTTCTGCAGTTGTTTCCGAGGCAAATCTTGTCAGAAATCCTAAAGAATGGTGGGTGGACACTGGTGCTATTCGCCATATCTGTGCCGACAAAAAGATGTTCACATCTTATTCTACAGTGGACAACAGTGA